GGGACTATGGCAGAGATGGTCTTCGTGATGGATTGTCCCAGTGACCGTTAGACACTGCCCATTTTTGTCTCTTGTTACTCTTTTGGCTTACAGTCTCTTTTTGTCTGATATGAGTTTGGCTGACAGCTTTCTTTCTGCTGTCATTTGCCTGGACTATTCATTCTCCATCCCTTCACTCTGAGCCTTGTGTTTGTTTTTAAAGCTGAACTGTGTCTCTTGGAGGCAGCATGTAGTTGAGTCTTGTTTTTTAATCCCACCCAGTCACTCTGTTGAATTCAATCTATTTACATTTACGGTGATCATTGATGGATGAGCACTTAGTGCAGTCATTTCTCTTTTATTTTCTGGTTGCTCTATGTCGGCATTTATTTCTTCTCCCTTGTGTTTCTGTCTGCCATTTTTTCTTGGAGGTTTTTCTATGATGTTTTCCTCTTTTTTTATGTTTTGCATCTCCGCTCTAGATTTATGTTTTATTGTTACTATGGGGTTTGTAAAAAGTGTCTCAGAGATAAAATAGCTCATTTCTCTATTGATCGAATCTTATCATTATTTACCTATATGGATTCCATCCTTTCTTCTTCCCTTTTTGTGTTTTGATGTCTTAAATTATCCCTTTTTATATGGTGAGTTTGTTACCAAATTGAAGTAGCTATAGCTATTTTTTCTAATTTCCCTTATGCTATAACAAAGTGGTTAAAAATCTATTTTGATGAAGAGTTTCAATTTTCCGATTCTGTCTTTCTATTTATCACCTTACTAAACGTTTAGTGTGCTTTTGCCTTTTTGTTTCTGGTAGAAGAGCTCTTTTAATCATTTCTTATAAGGCAGGTGTAGTGTTGATGAACCTCCCCAGCTTTTATTTGTCTAGGAAAATCTTTATTTTTCCTTCATATCTGAATGATAACTTTGCTGGATAGAATATTCTTGGGTTGCATTGTGGATGCAGACTGGTTGTAGATTGAAGGGGAGAGACAAAGTTATTTTTCACTTCACTATGTTGCTGATGTCACTTGCTCAGTTCTTCAAAAACTTTTCCAGTCCTTTCTATTTTTAAAAGGAGACTAACTGCAACGTATCAGGCCTCTTGAATTTATCTTACAGTTTCCTGATGCTCTGTTAGTTTTGTTTAAGGATCTATTTCTTTGCATGTTTTATGCAGAGAATTTTATTGCTGCTTCTTCCACTTAACAAAAATTTTCTTCTGTAATATTTAATTGATATTAAAACTACTCAATGCTTATTTTTCTCAGATGGTACAGTTTTCTTTTTTTTCTTTTTTTTCATTTATTTTTTACTAGTTGGAGGCTAATTATTTTACAATATTGTAGTGGTTTTTGTCAAACATTGACATGAATCAGCCGTGGATTTACATGTATTCCCCATCCCGATCCCCCCTCCCACCTCCCTCTCCACCCGATTCCTCTGGGTCTTCCCAGTGCACCAGGCCCGAGCACTTGTCTCATGCATCCAGCCTAGGCTGGTGTTCTCAGATGGTACAGTTTTCATCTCTGTAAGTTTGATTTGAATATTTTAAGCAATTTTAATATTTTTACTTAAAATATTTTTCTCTAGTCATCAACCTACTGGGTAAGGTTATATTGCTATTTAAGCTATATTCTATTTTAATTATATTATCTGTGCCATTTTGGGGGTCTATTTTTATTCATTGTTCTCATTATATGCTGTATTTCTTTGCATGTCTGGGAATTTTGATTAAGTCAGACATTATAGATTTTACCTTCTGGAAGGCTGGATGTATCTGTATCTTTATGAAGATCCTTTGAGTTTATTCTGGTACTATTTAAATCATTTAGAAACAGTTTTATCCTTTCAAGTTCTGGCCTCTCAAATGTTTGGACAGGACTCTATTTGGCCCAAATGTGCAAATTAAATGTGCATTAATTTTTTTTAAAACTCCATCCTTATAGAGAAGGGGGACAAAAAGAAGCAAATGTAGAAAAATATGGGAAACCTATTGAAAATGTGTTCATTTCCCCAGTACCCCTTGACTCCTTACACTGGATGAAATTGAAATTCCAGAACTTCTTCTTTATGTTGTTGAGGATGCATCCAAAGGCTTAGGGAGATTGGAATACTAAAGTAGATTTATTATGTAAGACTTGCTTGCCTACTGTCTAAGAATAGCCCTGGAAGTTCTAGGGTACATTCCATTCATCAGTCTCTGCGAAATACATTGTTGGTGAAGAGATTTGTCTTCTTGAAGTGCTCTGTAGTGAATAGTCTTTGAAGGCAAGGGATGACAATGGGAAATATTGCTATCAAAAAGAGCTCCCTGAATTCGATGGAATGATGGAAACCTGTAGTGTAGGCATCAGGTGGCATCACTTAAACCTAACAGATAAAATAAGTGTCATTATCATAGTGGCCAGAAGAGTGGAAATGTTTGATCTGAAGAGATCTTTGGTGTTGTTTAGATGACCATACTGTCTGTAGGACTAAAATAGGTGGTCACCCACAATGGGGAAAGAATAGACTCTCCAATAAATGATGGGATAAACTATATATCCACATGCAAAAGAAAGAAACGAGACCCTTATCTTACACCATAAACAAAAATCAAATCAAAATTAACTTAAGACTTATATATTAAGACCTGAAGGTGTAAAACTCTTAGAATAAACTATAGGGGGAAAGCTCCTTGATATTGGGAATGATTTTTTTGAATATGACACCAAAAGCTCAAGCAACGAAAGCAAAATTAAGTGAGACACTAAATCAAACTAAAAAGCTTCTGTACTGAAAAGGAAAGAATAAACAAAGTGAAACACAGCCTGTAGAAGGGGAGAAAGTGTTTGCAAGCCATGTATCTGAAAAGGGGCTATTATCCTAAATATACAAGGGTCTTGTACAACTGAATAGTAAAGATATCTCAACAACTTAAGCAAAGAATGGGCGGAGAACTTGAATATGCATTTTTCCTAAGAAGATACAAAATAGCCAGCAGGTACATGAAAAGGTGCTTAATATCACTAATTATAAGGGAAATGCAAATCAAAGCTTCAGTGAACTATCACCTTACACCTGTTAGAATGGCTATAATAGCAATAACAATAATAATAAAAAGATAAGTGTTGGTAAGTATGTGGAAAAAGAATCTTGGCACTCTGTTTAGTACTATAATATATATATTAAACATTAAAAATAGATTTATAATATATAATAGAAGCATATTATGATCCAGGAGTCCCTCTTCTGGTTAGGTAATTGAAGGAAATTGAATTACATATTTCATTGAGATATTTGCACTCCCAAGTTTATTGTGGCATTATTTAAAATAGCCCAAAACATATAAACAACCTAAGTATCCATAGATGGTCTATGAATGGATAAAGAAGAGGTGGTATATATAGAAAGGAATATCATTCAGTCATAAAAAGAAGGAAATTCTGCCATTTTGACAACATGGATGGACCTTGAGGGCATTATGCTAAGTAAAATAAGTGAAACAGAGGGAGGAAGACAAATACTGTATGATATCACCTGTGGGTGGAATCTAAAAAGATCAAATGCATAGGAACAGAGAACAGATTAGTGGTTGACCAAGGCTGAGGGAAATGTGTAAAAGGTGTCAAGGGTACAAAATTCTGGTCATAAGATAAGTACGTCCTGAGGACATAATGTACAGTATGGTGACTCAAGTTAAAAATACTGTGTAGTTTATGTAAAAGTTGCCAAGAAACAAGATATTAAAGTGTTCTCATCACAAGTATAGAAACTGTAATTATGTGAGGTGGTAGATGTTATATAAACTTATTGCGGTAACCATTTCTCAATATAAACATATATGAAATCATAATGGTGTATAACTTAAGCTAATGCAATGCTATTTGCCAATTATATCTAAATGAAACTGGAAAAAACAAAAAAAAGGGCTGTAATGTCAAAAGTAAAAAAATTAAAACATCAAAACAGTTTAGCAGCAAGTAAAATGAAATAGTTCCATTTTAGTCTGTAGCAAGGTGGGGTGCATTGTAAGAAACAAGATTAGTAAGGTGACATCTGCCTATTCTTTTATTTATCTATTTTTTGCTGGGCTGGGTCTTTGCTGCTGTGCAGGCTTTTCGCTAACAAGTGGGGCCCTTCCTCGTGGTGCCCAGGCTTCTCCGTGCCTTGACTTCCTCTTGCAGAGCATGGGCCCGAGGGCACAGGCTTCAGTGGCTGCGGTCCCTGGGCTCAGCAGCTGTGGCTCACAGGCTTGTTGCTCTGTGACATGTGGGTTCGTCCCAGACCAGGGATCTAACCTGTCTCTTCTGTGTTGGCAGGCAGATTCTTCACCACTTGAGCCACCAGGGAAGGCCAACTTATTCTTTTTGATAGATGCTAGATCAGGAAGGAATCCTAAGATAAATAATTTTGCCCCCAAAAGCTGTAAAACTAGAGGAATGAATAGAAAAAAATCCATCTCATATTTTTGTTACTGTCTTTCTTCGTTCAGCTATCAGGATGGTGAGGGGTTGTATAGATTCTGGAAATCTATATTCATTCCTACTTATGAAAGTAAGCCATAAGGAATGAAGGCCTATTTGAATTAAGGCCATAACACTTTTTTCAGCCCATGGTTCTCAGAGAAATAGAGGAGAAATTTCAGTGATTAATCAGACTGTACCTTTAGTTCTGCTCTGTAGATCTGAATTAGAACACATAATAAAAGATGAAATACTTATGCATATATATTTTTAATTTATAAAATATTTTTAGTCACCTAATTTTTGGAAAGAAATGCCATTTTTTTTTTTAAAGGTTTTCTCAATTTTATTTTCTACAAATAAAAGGCTGCTCTTCAGCTGGTTACACACCCTTGTGCAGCACACGAAGGCCCCTCTTCTTGTAGAGCAAAGCAGCCAGTCCCGGTAATGATTTAGGAGAAATGCCATTTTTTTAATAGAGTCCCTAAAGGCTTGTTTGACTTGCTTATTCCTTAGAGTATAAATGAAAGCGTTCATCAAAGGAATAATGGAAGTGTTGAGCAGGGACACCACCTTATTAATGGCCACACCTTCCTTTGCTGGTTTGATATAGATAAAGATGCAACTCCCATAAGTGATGGAAACTACAATCATATGGGAAGAACAAGTAGAGAAAGCCTTTTTTCTTTGCTGAGCCGAAGGGAGTCTTAAAATAGTCTTGATGATGTACGTGTAAGACACACTTACACAGACTAGTGTGAGTATGAGGGTCAGCACTGCCATGATTAAAACAAGTTGCTCTATAAATTGAGTGTCTGAGCACACTATCTTTAGAAGAGGAGATACATCACAGCCAAAATGGTCAATGAGACTGGAGTTACAGAAATCTAGCTGAATTCCCAGGCTAAGTGGTGGAAGTATGACAATTAACCCAATTAGCCAAGAGCAAAGGACCAGAATGGTGTAGACCTTTTCACTCATGATGGTGGTGTAGAGCAGAGGCTTGCAGATGGCCACGTAGCGGTCATAGGACATGGCAGTTAGGAGAAAAAATTCTGTTGCCCCGATGAGGAGGACAAAAAATAACTGGATAGCACAAGCATTATAGGTCACTGTTTTGTCTCCTGTTGTCATGCTGTACAGAAATCGAGGAACGCAGACAGTGGTGAAGATTATTTCTAAGATGGAGAAGTTCCGCAGGAAAAGGTACATGGGTGTTCTAAGGTGAGAGCTCACCAGAGTGAGGAGGATAATGACTAGATTTCCAGCAACAGTGGACATGTAGGTGAGAAACAGAAACACTGAAAGAAAAACCTGTAGTCTTGGGTCGTCTGTTAATCCTAGTAGGATGAATGTTGTTATTGAAGAATGATTTTTCATCAATATCTCCAGATACATAAGAAGGCTGTATTAATAGACTATAAGTGTTTAACCTGAGGAATAGAATATAAAAATAAATTTCAACAAGTTAGGTAGAATAAAGTAGTGAAACAGGCAGCAGATGCACATTTTAGACCCAGAGGGATGGGATGGGGAGGGAGGCGGGAGGGGGGATTGGGATGGGGAACACATGTAAATCCATGACTGATTCATGTCAATGTATGGCAAAAACCACTACAATATTGTAAAGTAATTAGCTTTCAACTAATAAAAATAAAAGAAAAAAAATAAATCTAAAAGAACTAAAAAATAAAGCTTTTACTTGATCATCAATAATCATGACATAGAAAAGTGATTGAATCATACTTCATTTCCCTGGACTCTACATTAAATTCATCTTCAGAATGTTCATGAAAAGCATTCATCTGAAATTTTATTTCCATTCTAGTTACAGGATCAATTTCAATGCCTATGTCATAGTCCTCTGAAATTTTGGCAGCCACAGTGGTATCCCTAATCCTCAGTATAGAATAGGAGACTCATAAATGTTGAGTAATAGAAACAGATGTATAAAAATTTTATTTTCCTAATTGTTAGTACAACATGTCAACAAGTCATTCTTTTACCTTTTGGTAATAAAAAAGCCACCAGTGCCTTAGTTGTACTATTTTTCATACTTTGCAAAAATTATCCTCTTCAAATAATTTCTTGATCTTGTTTTTACAAGACCTAGGGACAGTCTTGATGCTGAGGCTGAAGCTCCAATACTTTGGCCACCTGATGCAAAGAACTGACTCATTGGAAAAGACCCTGATGCTGGGAAAGAATGAAGGCAGGAGGAGAAGGGGACAACAGAGGATGAGATGGTTGGATGGCATCAGCGACTTGATGGACATGTGTTTGAGCAATCTCCGGGAGTTGGTGATGGACAGGTGAGCCTGGTGTGCTGCAGTCCATGGGATCGAAAAGAGTCAGACACAACTAAGCTACTGAATTGACTGAACTGCGGAACAGTATAAGAGAGTTACCATGAAATTTCCTAAGTCCCATCCCCGTCCAGAATTTCTTCTTTGAGCCCTTTTCATAATAGATAATGTGCTGAGAGATTAGTTTGTGTCTCTCTTGTGTACCAGTTTTAACAGAATGCCTTCCCCCACTCCCCCCCACCCCGAATTCCTGTTTCAACAGGAATTCCATCTGTTGTCTTATGTTCCACCCATCCTAAGCCTTCGCAGATCACTGACCAATGGAATGTTCTGATGGTTTTCTGGGGAAATAGAATCCTGACCTTAGGCTTCCATGATCCTTATTGGGGTTCTATAGCTTATGCACAGATATTTCGGCTCCCCAAATCTTTTTGAGGCTATATCCTCCAAGATGCAGAAGAGTTAGAATACATCTTAGGTAAAGAACTGCCTTCTTTGCCATGATTTCTCTCTCTGAGGACACACCTCATCCTTGGGAATGTTACTTATCATTTCTACTACTCTCATGGCTTCAGGACACCTCTTTGTTCTTAGAAGTCTGGCCCAAGGATAAACTCAGGCTCTGCGGCTATTCCCCCAAAGAACAGGTATCATCAGGCATTAATATTAACAAAGACTAAACATGACACGGAGAATAAATAAAACCTGGCTATTAAGTGTGAATGTTCTTAGAAGCGGATAAAGAATCACAGTCCATCCTATTGAGTTTCCCTACGTGATGGCCTCCCTGTGTTGTTTCATGTTAAAGAAGCCATTGTTTCACTACCTACCAGGACGCCCTTGTGCACTTTTCATTTCTCACATTTCCTGTCTGTTCACCCACCACGCCCAGTGAGGAGAGTGACAATGAACTTTTAAGAAATGTCAGAGCTAGAATTTGGGCCAGCTCACATCAGACCCAAAGCTTAATTGTTTCTAGGAAATTGTAATTTTAGGATTTTTAGTGTCCATTCTAATAATAACACATTAATTAAAATATCAGTTTTTCAAATGTCTTGGTTCAAATGGTATTTCCAGGGCATCTGGTTTACTTTAGTAAATGAATAGAAGAAATCTCCCCATAATACACCAATTTTTTTGTAACATGAATGTTTTCTCATGTGATGTTTTAAGATATTACTCAGAAAATACCTTAAGTGATGTTTCCCTCTGAGTTTAGAGAAGGCATTATGTCTTTTCAATTGAAGAGGATTGCCACAGTGTGATAGGATTTTTAGACACCTTCACAGGAAAAGTCAGCTTACCTGCTCTCATGGGGTAAAGGGTTTGCAGAGTGTTGGAAACCTTTGAATAATGTGAGCCCATCAGATGGCTCTCTAAGGCTAAGACATGATGCTTTTCTGAGAGTCACATGTCTTCCCACTCATACTGCTAATGTTCATCTCCTCAGCTCCTTCTGCCTGCATAACCCAGGGCCTACATGCTGGTCAACATACTGACTCCCAGTTAATACCATATTACATATTGTGAAAATGTAAAATTTAGTGTTCACAGTTCAGAGGAAATGGTGGAGGGAGATTTTTAGATAACTTCACATCATTGTTTGAATCATTACTTGAAGAGGAAAATCATTAACATAAAGAAATTACATTTAATATTGGACTTTTAGGCTATGACTGTTTCACATCCTGTTATGAAGAATTATGGAAAATTGATATTTTTCATTTTTCTCTTTAAAGATAACATTACTTTTGCCCTTCACAATAAGATACACACATATTTATCTTCTACAGGGCTTCCCAGGTGGCATTAGTGGTAAAGAACCTGCCTGCCAATGCAGGAGACATGAGACAAGGGTTCGAATCCTGGACGTGGGCATGGCAACCCACTCCAGTATTCTTGCCTGGAGAATCCCATGGACAGAAGAGTCTGGTGAGCAACAGTCCATGGTGTTGCAAAGAGTGGGACATGACTGAAGCAACAGCAGCAGCAGCATTCCTCTAAAACTCATAGAATAGTGTATGAAAGAAAGGAAGATAGATTTCCCAGAAACACGTCAGAGTCCAGCACTATTAATGTGTCTCCATTTGGTCTTACCCTTCTTACCTTAATTCCAATCACTTCCCGGAAAAATGCTCAAGAGTTGTATTTAGGTTCATTACCACGTTATACAGAAGAAAGTGGCAGCTCAGACTGCTTTTCAAATCCTCTCTGAACCTGAAGATACTTCTTGGACTCAGGTTATTCAGAAAGATCTTACTGCCTTTGCCCAGGGACTGCATTTACAAAACTTCCTTGGTTCCATTTTTCAAACTTTTAGGCACATAAATAACAAACATTTTGTACTTACTTTCTGGTAGTTCCCCATAACTTTTCAGGAAATTTAATGAAAAACTTCTTTTTGAGTCTGAGAAATACTAGATGCTAGTGGCTATAATTTTGAGTTAACTTTGACATCCCCTTGAGCCCCACATTTTATTCCAGGTAATAGTGTTTGCAAGTGCAAGGTGATATGCAGTGACCTAGAGACCAGGATCTTTGCTTTTACCATCACCATGTGGAAAATGGAATTTGATGAGAGTTCTTATCTCTCATTAAAATATTATTAAAATTTCTCTGAAGCCTGTGACTGAAAGAATGGACAAACAACGGCAAATAATTGCTAGCAACTCTCCCTGGCTGTGGAAGTGAAGATGGTCTGAGGTCTCTGTGCAAAGAAATGAGTTACTGTATAAGTATTCATGAATAGAAATAGCGTGTGCTTTACTGGTTTTATTTGCGTAAGTGCCCAGGGAGCCATTAAGAGAACAAGCAGAAATGTCCTTGGTGACCCTACTTAAAGTACTAATGAATCTACAGTAAAATTAACTTTAGCAAAAAGAAAAAAATTACCCAGATCTTGTGGGACAGTGTCCACAGAGATAAGAAATGCAACCATAACAGTCATCAGTTGCAGGAAAAAAGTCAGATGGTAATTTGACAATCTGATTCTCATAATGTTTCTTTTACACAGTCTAAATAATGAGGATCCCTTGATGCTTTTTGGTTACTGGACACACTCATATAATCTACTCAAGGCAGTCCTTCCTAGATTATTAGTTTTTAAGATGTCTTATTTCAGCAGTTAGGAGAATTAATATTTGCTTATTTCATTCTACTGATCATATAGTTCATCCACTGGTCCTATTTAAAGGTGAAGCGAAGTGAAGTGAAAGTCACTCAGTCATGTCTGACTCCTTGTGACCCCATGGACTGTGACCCCACGGAATTCTCTAGGCTAGGATATTAGAGTGGGTAGCCTTTTCCTTCTCCAGGGGATCTTCCCAACTCAGGGGTCAAACCCAGGTCTCCCACCTTGCAGGTGGATTCTTTACCAGCTGAGCCACAGGGAAGTCCAGGAATATGGAGTGGGTAGCCTCTCCCTTCTTCAGTGGACTTCCCGACCCAGGAATTGAACTGGGGTCTCCTGCATTGCAGGCGGTTTCTTTACCAACTGAGCTATTGGGGAAGCCCAGAATAAACATTTTAAATTGATAGTACTATTACCTCCCTATGGACAGTAGCCCACCAGGCTCCACAGTCCATGGGTTTCTCCATGCAAGAATACTGGAGTGGGTTGTCATGTCCTTCTCTAGGGGATCTTCCCCATCCAAGGATTGAACCCGTGTCTCTAGCATATCCTGCATTGGTAAGCGGGTTCTTTACCACTAGTGCCACTTAGGAAGCCCCTTAAATTAGTGGTCATATACTGAATAATCACACTCTAAACATGCTGGTATCTTGCTAAACCCAAAGGTGTCATTCTGCTTATCAAGAATGCAGGGTTTGGGTGTAATGTTGCTCAGTGTACACCTTTGACCAAAAGTCCAGAGATTGCTCCCACTCTTCCACAGTGCTCAGCAGTGCCAGCTTT